CGGCATGACAACGTGATCGCCTTGAAGGATGTCATGATGCCAGCTCAGAGAACCAGTTTTAAGGATGTATATTTGGTTTACGAGCTCATGGACACCGATTTGCATCAGATCATCAAGTCTTCTCAGCCTCTTACTAATGATCATTGCAAGTATTTTATATTTCAGGTACTTGAGAACTCACCCTTCTCTTCTTATTGTGATTTGTTTGTATTTCAGATGATAATCCATGAGTTTGCATCATTATTTTCATGTAATCATATGTATGTACTGTTCCGAACTATTCCTTTCGACACTCGCAACTGAGTTCGAGTAACATAGCTATAGGTCATTAGAATAGTTACCATTTTGTTGTTTGATTTCTTCATCTTGCAAGGCCTTAACAGTTGCACTGTAAAATGTCTAGTTAGCATTGATGACTATCCTTTGATACTAGCTTTTGTGCATTTTTGGGGTATGGAGCTTTTATGAGTTCCATGCTCATCCGGTCCCGATCTGCATTTACTTTGGGAGAAACGATGGGGGCGATGAGTTATGAGGCTTAATATAACAACTTGTACTGCTGGAAACTTGTTAGTAGGTTCATTATGGTTCAAAGATGATGAGAAAAGCTCAACAGTTCAGAGAATACAAGTTGCTTATATATTGTAGGGACTAGGGGAGTTATTTGGTTAGTATTGTTCACAATCATAAAGGGTCGAATAGTATCCGGTCTTCGTTTCTATCTGCAAGGGTCCTTCCGGATTCGATCAGTTCTGCTTTCTTTGCGAGATGGTAAACAATAGTTTCAGATCTTCCCTTGTCAGCCTTTTCTGATTGTCAACATAACTGATTCCTATAATAATCAGCAGGATGGTATGCATCTGGTTGTAATAATGTAAACATAGAAAACTATGTCGTTTTGGAGTTCTCATATGTCGTAAAACGAACATAATTACGATCCCGTGTAGAACATTATAAGTAAGATTTAAAGTCTTTTTTCCATCTCATGTGCTCCGTATATGCAATCTATGGCAAAGGCCCTTGTTTGATGTCCCTGTTTGGCCATCTTTCCTTCTTCATTCATGTCTCGTTTGGTTCATCGAATGCTAGAGGAACGGTTTCTTCGGAATTGCTGTGCTTTAGAAACTTGGTTCAGTATGCAGTCTAGCTCTAAAGTTTCTTAAATTCTTTCATGTTATTCATTGCCTGCCTGTAACTGACCTCTAGTGCTTATTTTAGTTACTACGAGGGCTGAAGTACCTTCACTCGGCAAAAATCCTTCACCGAGACTTGAAGCCTGGGAACCTCCTTGTGAATGCTAACTGTGACCTGAAGATGTGATTTCGGGTTGGCCCGGACCAGCAGAGGTAACGAACAATTCATGACGGAGTACGTTGTCACACGCTGGTACCGTGCACCTGAGCTCCTGCTCTGCTGTGACAACTACGGGACCTCCATTGATGTTTGGTCAGTAGGATGCATCTTCGCGGAGATTCTAGGTCGGAAACCCATCTTTCCTGGAACAGAGTGCCTCAGCCAGCTTAAGTTGAACATCAATGTCCTAGGAAGCTAGCAAGACGCTGATATTCAGTTCATCGATAATCCGAAAGCCCGAAGGTTTATCAAGTCACTTGCTTACTCTAGGGGCATCCATCTTTTCCATTTATACCCGCCGCAAGCCGATCCATTAGCCATGGATTTGTTGCAAAGGATGCTTGTTTTCGATCCATCTAAGAGAATTTCCGTCACAGAAGCGCTCATACATCCGTACATGTCGGGGCTATATGATCCGAGGCGCGATCCGCCCGTCCACGTCCCGATCGATCTCAACATAGACGAGAACGTGGGAGAAGATGTCAGGGAGATGATGTGGACTGAGATGCTACATTACCTCCCCGAGACTGCATCTGCAACTGATTAGATGACATTGTTTTAAACTATGCTTGTTTTTGGTTGCTTTCAAAAGATTAGTTTTAAGTCAAAAGCAATACATAAATTATTTTGTTACTCTCTCAAACATGTCTTAAATCTATTTGCTACAAACGAATATTGTTTAATGGGTAAATTACCTTTTTTTTATTATCCAAAGTATCAATTTTCGACCGTTTTAGCAATTAAACTTTTAATTTTTAAAATCATAATTAACATTTAGTTTTTTTTTTTCATTTGAGTATCCTGTCGCTAAAAACGGGGTTGTAGTTTTTATAAGAAAATTATATCATTCATCACTTAATTATCTTTTCACTCATATTTTGGTATTAAAGTTACAAAATTTCTAATTTTACTACTCAACTTTCAAATTATTACCATTTTAATCATTCTAATTTATTTTATTAATATTTTTTGTGACATGTCATTTTTATTTTATTATATATAATTAAAATGAAAAAAATTGAAACTTAGAGTGAATAAATTAAGATTAATTTGAAAGTCAAGTAATTAAATTAAACTTTCATGACCAAAATAAGAGTGAGAAGATAGTTGAGTGATGAATGATGCAATTTACCCATAAAAATATACCACATGCAAATCACCCGTTAAGTTTTTATCTACGTAATACTAACCCGAAACAAAAATTAAACGTTAGATATAATTTTAAAAACTAAAAATTCTAAAATACATCAAAACTAATAATTTATGTACTAAAAACATAATTTGTTTAGTTTAATTTTGGATATTTGTCCACGGAGCAGGTACGCCTGCTCTCTGTTAAACTCTGTCCTGAACAAGAACCAAACCAACTGCTCCATGTTAAACTTTGTCCTGAACCAGGTCCCAACCAATCTTAAACCATTTCAAGTATTGACTTGCTTCTAGCTTATTCCAAGAGTTGTCCATTGAATGAATGTTTGGATTTATGCACACACATGTTAACTAATTTTATTTTTAAAATCGGTTGAGTTTTAATTTTAGGGTAAATCACACGAATGGTCTCCTGACTATAGGATATTAATTTATTAAGTCATTCAATTATTAAAAGTTACAAAATGATATTATGACTATAAAGAGTTGTTTTGTTGAGTCCCTCGACTATTAAAAGTTACAAAATATTAATCGGTTATTCATTATTGTTCCAAACTCATCCTTATATGTTAACAAATTGGTGGTATTCTGAGCTGAATGTTAATATGTTGACTGTTATAAGATAAAATATAATAAAAGGCTCTCAAACGACTATCATATCTCAGTCATCATGTTAATGTCCAACTTAAACAACAGTCATTTTTTTAACAGAAAATGACGAGTTTGAAACATAATGAATAGTCAGAGGACTATTTTGTAACTTTTAATAGTCGAGAGACTTAATAAAATAATATCCTATAGTCGGGGACCATTTATGTACTTTACCCTTAATTTTATTTGAATGCAAAATAAGAGCTAGTTGCCTAATATTCAAACCAAGTCTCCTTTATAAATACCCATTATCCTCTTTGAATGCTCCCAACAGACGAAAAAAACCAAGTCGAAAGCTATGGTTCATAACATTATAGTAGTTGTTGTTCTTGCCCTTGCACTTGGTCATGTCCCCCATTGTTTGTCTTCCAAGACAGTTGGAGGAGGATCCCTTTACCCTCAGTTCTACGATCATTCATGTCCGAATGTCCAAGAGATTGTCGAAAATGTTGTAGCCAAAGCTGTTGCGAAGGAGCCTCGAATGGCGGCTTCGCTTCTCAGGCTACACTTCCACGACTGCTTCGTCAAGGGGTGTGACGCGTCGATATTGTTGGACAGCAGCGGCAGTTTAATCAGTGAGAAGAGGTCGATCCCGAACAGGAACTCGGCTAGAGGATTTGAGGTGATCGATGAGATAAAAGCGGCATTAGAAAAGGAGTGTCCTCATACAGTGTCATTTGCTGATATTATGGCCCTGGCTGCTAGAGATTCTACCGTTCTGGTATATTGTTTCGGCCTTTTGTTTATATACAAATATGTTATAAATTAGAGAGAAATCGAACCATGCTAACATGTTCTTTCATCGGATTTGCAGACCGGTGGACTTAGCTCGGATGTCCCTCTCGGAAGAAGGGACTCGACCGGTGCGAGCTTGAGCGGCTCGAACAACAACATTCCTGCTCCAAACAACACGTTCCAAACGATTCTCACCAAGTTTAAGCTAAAAGGCCTCGACATTGTCGATCTCGTTGCACTTTCTGGTAAACAGATTCAGTACCCCGTGTCGCCTTGCGTATCAAGTTACGGCCTCGGTACCCCGTGTGCACTTAGAATCGATACGTAAACGCATGCAGGGGAGATGGCCTCGACATTTACCGAGTTCCTGACCTATGTTAACTCATGCAGGTAGCCACACCATAGAAACGCTCGATGCACAAGTTTCAGGCAGAGACTCTACAATCAATCAGGCCACGGACAACCCGACTACACACTCGATCAATCCTATGCCTCGCAACTGCATGCCAATTGTCCAAGATCGGGCGGCGATCAGAACCTGTTCTTCTTAGATTTCATTAGCCCGATAAATTTTGACAACAGCTACTTCAAGAACCTACTGGTGAACAAGGGGCTGTTGAACTCCGACCAAGTGCTGGTCACCATGAATGGTGCATCGAGTGAGTTGCTGAAGACATACGCTTATAATCAGGAACACTTCTTTCAGCAATTTGCCAAGTCCATGATTAAGATGGGAAATATTTCGCCATTGACGGGCAACAAGGGTGAGATCAGATACAATTGCAGGAAAGTTAATGCTTAAAGTGATTACTTTTATGAAAAAAGTTTGTGTATTATGTCACGTTGTGTGTTGCGTGCTTTTTTTTTATTGATGGACCGAATTGTTAAATGATTTAATATGTAATGATGCTTAAAACATTTATGGTCAAATTTGAAATGGATCCCTCAAGTTTTAAAAATTTTCTCAACGACTTCCCCTTGTCCAACTCCTCCGGATCTTTGAGAAGTTCAAACTTAGAATGTTTCTTCTCTCTTCTTACATCTATTCCACAAACAAAGCTTAATCTTCTTCCCCACTGTCTTTTTTAATCCTCAATTCCATCGTTTTTCACTTCAAAAACCAACAATGGCGATCAGTGGAAAGTCCCGTGGCGCCAAGCGTTCGACTTCAGGTTCATATGCATCGACTGTCACCACTGTGGTCTTCGTGACATTATGCCTTCTGGCAGTTTGGATGCTCACTTCCAACACTGTTTCGTCACCACAAACCACCACCACTACCACCACTGTTCGTACCGCCGTCACCGACGGAAACGGAGACGAACAAATCACCAAGGTTGGTGAAGATAAAGATAAAGCGGCGTTTGAAGATAATCCCGGTACACTTCCCGACGATGCTGTCAAGCCTGACGACGATAAGACCAGCGAATCTGATGAAGATAAAGGAAAAGACTTGGTTGTTGAAGAAACCCAACATAACTTACACGGGAAAGAATCCGCTGAAGAACAGGAGAAGCAGAAACTGAGGGAAACTCAGTTATCTGAGGAAAGCGTGTTGACACATAATCAACAGACGAAGCAAATTATCCCCAACGAAGTTGAAGGTAATAAGCAGACGAGTAATGAAGAACCCGTCAAGGTTAATCTTGAGGAAAACAACAATATCAACAATCTGGATTCTTCAGACGATCAAGATCAAATCCGAGCTGTCGAGAAGCAACAAATTACTGAGAAACCAAAGGAAAATCGAGGTGACAAGAAGAAGAAGAAGAATAAGAAGAAGGGAGACATGGACAGCAATAAGAAGATGAAGGAAACAACAACGAAGAACGTGAAACCAAAAGAGGATGATCCCGCGAGATTGAAGAACGACATAACGGAGATCGAAGATGAACCGAAAGGAAACAAGCAAAAACAAGAGCTGCAAATGCAAGACGAAAAACAGAACAAAATTCTAAATGCAACGGAAACAGATACGTTCCAGAATTTACCGACGTTGAACCAGGAAACATCGGAGAAAGACACCCGAAGTGAAGCTCAGAATCAGGAAGCTCGGCAACAGAATGAATTGAACTCCGACGAGTCGTTAGGAAATTCAATTCCGAAAGAGTCCATCGAATCGAAGAAGGCATGGAAGTCGCAAAAGATTCAATCGGAGAACGAGAAGGAGAGACGGAGAGACGAATCCGATGGCAAAAACAGCATCTATGGTTACACTTGGCACATATGCAACCACACCACCGGTCCCGATTACATACCGTGCTTGGATAACCTGAAAGCTTTGAAAAAATTAAAAACCACCAGGCACTACGAGCATCGGGAGAGGCATTGCCCTGAGGAGGGTCCAACATGTTTAGTCCCACATCCAGTGGGATACAAAAAGCCTATCCCTTGGCCTAAAAGCAGAGACCAGGTAAAAAGATCGAATCAAACCTGTTGGATTGTTAACAATTTTGCCGTTTTTGTAATTCGTTTGATGTTGTCTGGCAGATACGGTACCATAATGTACCACATACTAAACTAGCTGAGTTCAAAGGGCATCAGAATTGGGTTAAAGTGAGTGGCGACTACTTGATTTTCCCCGGTGGTGGCACTCAATTCATCCATGGTGCCCTCCACTACATTGACTTTCTCCAACAGGTAAAGTTCGACTTCGACATGCTAGTCGGTTACGTATATGTAATTCCGATGTTTTGAGAAAGAAGAATATGTTGGTTGCAGGCAATACCCAACATTAAATGGGGTAAACGCTCCAGAGTGGTCTTGGATGTTGGATGTGGCGTTGCAAGCTTCGGAGGGTATCTTTTCGATCGAGATGTTTTGACCATGTCCTTCGCCCCGAAAGACGAGCACGAAGCTCAAGTTCAATTCGCTCTTGAACGTGGGATTCCTGCCATATCAGCTGTGATGGGGTCTCAGAGGCTACCGTTTCCTTGTAGAGTCTTTGATTTAGTGCACTGTGCACGGTGCAGGGTGCCCTGGCATATCGAAAATGGCATGCTTCTGCTAGAACTGAATCGTGTTCTTAGACCGGGAGGATATTTCGTCTGGTCGGCGACGCCTGTCTACCAGAATCTTCCGGAGGATGTGGAAATTTGGAAGGGTAACACACATAGACAGTACACTCAATTCAAAGTTTAGACATGGTTTAAGGTTGTTATGGAGCTAACAATGTGAAGTTTGTTTTGTAGCGATGTCGGCCCTTACGAAATCCATTTGTTGGGAACTTGTGACCATCAAAAAGGACAAATTGAATTCCATCGCAGCCGCCATCTATCGCAAACCGACCTTAAACGAATGCTACGACAAAAGGCCGGAGAATAATCCACCAATGTGCGATGAAAAAGATGATGCAAATGCTGTCTGGTAGGTTTCTTGACATACTCTTGCATGTTTATGTACCAAAAAAAGGCTTATTGCTTGTTCCGTGTTAGGCATGTACCCCTGAAGGCATGCATACACCATGTGCCGAAAAATCAGGACGAAAGAGGATCACGATGGCCCGCGAATTGGCCTAATCGGCTGCAGAAAGCTCCTTACTGGTTGAACCGATCCCAGATGGGGATTTACGGGAAACCGGCTCCTCAAGACTTTGCGAAAGACTATGAACACTGGACTCGAGTCGTGAGCAAGTTGTACATGAGCGGATTGGGAATCAGTTGGTCTAATGTAAGAAATGTGATGGACATGAGAGCTGTGTATGGAGGGTAATGGTTGTTTCGTTTCTGTTTTCAGCGTTACTAATAACACATTAAAGTTACCATATTGACACATCTTTGATGCCTGCAGGTTTGCAGCAGCTTTGAAGGACATTAAAGTATGGGTGATGAATGTGGTGAACTTCGATGCTCCGGATACACTTCCGATCATCTACGAACGTGGCCTTTTCGGAATATACCACGACTGGTGCGAGTCATTCAGCACTTATCCGAGATCATACGACCTCTTGCACGCCGATCATCTTTTCTCCAAGCTGAAAAACAGGTAGAATTAGAAATCATGATACGGTCTCACACCATAACCTTCTTTGTTTGATAACCGACCCGCATCTTCGTCGTCCATAGGTGCAAACTCCAGCCTGTGCTGGCGGAGGTCGATAGGATCGTCCGACCGGGCGGGAAATTAATCGTTCGGGACAATTCGAATGCCATTAGTGAAGTGGAGAACTTGTTGAAATCACTGCATTGGGAAGTTCATTTAACTTTCTCCAAAGATCAGGAAGGAATACTGAGTGCCCAGAAAGGTGATTGGCGGCCTACAACGTATAAAGCTGTCATTTGATGCATCAAAAATCTGTATTTCGATCATGATTTTTATTATGGTTATACCATTCCTACAGTTTTGGGTGCCTATAGCATTTTCAGATTCTTTGGTTCTTAGTTGACATTGTTACTTTCTTTTCTAATATAATCTGTTGCATGCACAAAATAATCTTGGGTAAATTACGCTTTTAGTACATAAACTCTTAGTTTTAGTATATTTTAGTACCTAAACTTTCAATTTTTCAAAACCATACCTAACGTTTAATTTTTGTTTCGTTTTAGTACATGGCTGTTAAAAATTTAACAGTGATTTGCATGTGGCACCTTTTTATATGTGAATTGTATAATTCATCACTCAACTATTTTCTCACTCCTATTATGGTCACTAAGTTTAATTTTTTTATTTAATCACTCTAACTTTCAATTTTTTTATTTTTAATTATATTAATAAAATTTTTAAACTTTAGTACCAAGATAGGAGTGAGAAGAAAGTTGAGTGATGAACGATTTGTAAAACTTATATTTTGATATAACAAATAATGGCAAAATGTTTGTTGGACTAAATTGAGTTTATTCAAAGTTTTCAAAAATAATTCAAAGTCCAATCAAAACCTTAAAATGAGTATTTTGACCAGAAGTTTCGAAACTTCTACAAAAGTTTAGAAACTTTCCAAGACCGTGTCCCAAAAGTTTCGATACTTTTCAAGAGTTTCGAAACTTTCCCTAAAGTTTCGATACTTTGGCTCAAACGATCATATTTTTCCAACAGTTCTTTCGAAGAGTTTCGAAACTTTGTGTGCAGAAAGTATTCCAACGGCTCCAAACCTTACCAAACGACTAGAAAGGGTTAGTAACTCATTCCAACATATAAAAACAAGTTCAAGACACTTGTAGAATGTTACCAACACCTATCCAAACAATCAAACACAAGAGAAAAACTTTTCATTCTTTAATTTCTTTCTCTTGTACATATTTGTGTTTTTGTGAGCTTTAATGTAACACCCCAATTTAGGGGCTAAATTTTAAGAAATTATAAAGTATTGGATTTAATTGGAATTTTGGAAGGAAATTGATGATTAAATTGTAAAATCGTAAAGTTGGCTTACCATTTTAAGAAGTACAGGAAGTTCAGTGACTAAACTCATAATTTAGCCATTTTCCTTTATGAGAAAATTTATAACCCCTCCCGTATGTTTTTCTGCATATTTCCAATTTTTCTTCTCCCTCAACCCAACTTTCAACTCCGATTTACTCGCCGTCCGACCTCCGATCGACGAGCCGAAACCACTATCGTGTTCGTTGTCAACCAAGGAACAAAACCCCTCAAACCTTTCGTCGTGAATCGTCGCCATTCGTCGTTAATTTCAGTCGGAAGTACTGTTGGTAATAACTCGATTTTTAGTTGGTTTTTCATCGATTCACGACGATCGGGTCATTCGTTTACGACACCTCCCGCACCATCGTGTTCGTTGCATCGTTCCGAGTCCGTCGGTGTCATCCTTGGTCTCCGTCAACGGCAGCGCGTGAGGAGGTGAAGCGGTTAAAGTTTCCGATTTGTTGAAATCGAGCTCTCTACCGTTCAAAATTGTAAATCGAGCTTTGTAAGTATCTCGAAATCGCTCAAAATAATTTTTAGAGCTATTTTGACCGGTTTGACCGGTTTTAGAGCTATTTTGACCGGTTTGACCGGTCACAACCCGATCCGACCCGATGACCCGACCCGACCCGTTGACCCGACTCGAACCATTAACCCGACCCGTTGACCCATTGACCGGCGTTGACCACTGTTGACCAAAACTTTGACCGGCTTTGACCGGGCATTAAACAACCTTTGACTTCGACCGAGTATACCTATCCTGACATTTTTCGACGTTCCAAATCCGATTCCGCTATCCGTTTTTCGAAATTCAAACCTAAAGACCTTGAAATTGCCGGTCAAACCCGTTGACTTTGATTTTGACCGAAAATTCTAAATTTCCGAAAAGTCATATTTTATGCTTTCGACGTCCTGAATCCGAATCCGAAGTTCGTTTCGCCAAATTCGAACCCGGTAAGTTGTTTTTCACTGATTTATCACTGGATTCGATTCATTTATCGCAATTAAGCTCCGTTTCTGATATAATTTATGTTGATATGTATCTGATGAATTATTGGAAGTTGAATTGAAGATCAAAGGCGTGCGAATGGAATTTTTATGGTCGATCAGTATTGCACGAAAATCGAGGTAATACTTTACTATCTCTTTATGCTTTATGGAACATGTGAATATTGGTAAATGCATGATTAAGATAATGTTGGTCTCATTTGTGTAGTTAATTAGTTTCTACACTCGATCTGAATACGGTAAAAGGGTTCAGTAATTGATTATGGTTCAGATGATTTTTATAAGAAATTGAGGGATTGTTAGAATTAAATTACAAGTTCTGTTCTTAGTGATAAAGAAATCAACATGGATTTGTAACTTATAGTTTATTTCACCAAAGGTTAAATGTTAAAGGTACTTGGATGGAAGTTAGATAAATGGATTTTACAGACATATTGATCTGATAAAAATATTGATTTGCATAAGAAATGTTAGTTTTATTTGGAAATTATGAATAACCGGTTTTAATCCTATGAGAGTTTGTGAATGATACTAGAAGTCTGTTAAGAGAACCATTTCAAGATCAGAGAGTGTTCAAGAAAGCAATTAATCATAGGATCTCTAAATTATATTATTTTCGTTAAGAGCTAATATCGAAATTATATGGTTAAGAAATTACGGAAATATCCTTAAGAGGTAGAATAGTCTGAGTTGACCATGAATGAGAAAATACTTAGAGGATTCGTACTTAACTCGATTAAGTACGGATTTAATTGTTAAGATCCTGACTTAGTGCAGGAAAATTCCTGATATTCCGTTTGTAAAATCTGAGAAGGCACTTGACCCGGAAATATCCGAGTTATGAGTAAATACTTGAAGAACAATTTGTCGGGGTTGTTCTGTTGTCAGAATTGTTCGAAATGACTGAAATAAATGATAAGATTGAATTTAATAGTAAGATCAGACGGAAGGAAATGATTAAAGTACATTGAATCTGTATAATGACCAAAATACCCCTGTAATAGAAATGACCCAAGAATACCACCAAGCTCAAGAATGATTGGATATCCTCGAGCTTTGAAATGAATGGAATAAAACTGAATACCAAAATTACCAAAATACCCTTATGGCCTATATTAAGTAAATGTCTTGGATTAATTAAGGAATCCAAATAAGCATAGGTGTTGGACTACCTTTAAAAGTTATGGAACACAACTTAAGTGAGTAGATCAACCCTAAAGCTATGTCAATACCTGAACGACATAGATATTACTGGAATGCATGTTCGTCTTTTCAGTTTGGCTCGATGATAATTTTGAAAGTATTCAGCTCAACTCAACTCTAGATCATATTCAGTACTAAGAATTGGATATTTGTTCGACAAATCAACCACGAATACTGAACTGGACGAAAGTACAATATGTATCCGAAATTTAGAAAATGTCCAATTTACTCTGGAAAACTCTTAAGTAACATGGATAAACTTGACTGTTAAATGAAATAAGTAACCTCAATGATTTGATGATTAAATAAGTGATTTGAATGAGTCTAGAAACATTAACAAACATACATAATGAAATGTTTTTTATGGGTCATGAACTATAAATCAAGCACGTCAGCATTTCATGATATTGTGGAAGCGTGAAAATGAAATAAAGAGCATTAGAATATCTATGGATAAGAATGTTAGGTATAAAATAAATAAATACCCTGGAAGGACAAAGAATTGACCAGTCGATAAGCATTAGTTATGGGAATTATTCATATCGAGTAACTCGTTAATCTGATCAATCGACAAAGATTGTAAAATTTTTGAATCGTTGTTCTCCCTTATCAGCTCAAATTAGTTAGGTTATATATGAAAATATAAGTGGCTCAGATGTAAAGGATTCTGAATACCCTTTTGATTATGTAGAGCTTTCAAAAAAAATGTATGAATAAGATATGATCTCGATAAGTCTCAATCTGAAGAACTTATGATTCCATCAGTTATTGAACTCTTCCAATAGTGATTATAAATCCCAACATTCTATCGGTATATTGAAGATATGTGTTTCTCTGCCTGATAAGATTATTCTGTACTTATGAATAATATCTGTAAACTCTGGTGTGTTCCCTACCTACATGAATATTTTATCTGATTTTTTATTTGAATTATGATCTGATACTTGACAAGGATTCTGATATGATATCTGACATGGATTCTGATCTGATACTTGACTTGGATTCTGATCTGATACTTGACCTGATTTCTGATATGATGCTTGACCTGATTTATGTTTTGATTTTTGATATATCCGTTTACGGACGGACATATTTTATTTGGGGGTATTGTTGGAGGTTACTATATATGCAAGTTCCTCGGCTTTATGCTCGGGGCCTTACTTGGTGTGTTGGTGGGTGTATGGTTCTGGGGAACCTACACATTATGGTATGTTGGTGGGTGTATGGTTCGGGGAAACCTACACATTATGGTGTGTTCGGTTGGAGGGATTACTATGGTTTTTGATCAATGTTTTATGGGAGGGTGTTGTTGGAGGAAGTTATCGTTACCGTTACTGCTGGCTCCTCTGCTTTGTGCTCAGGGCCTTACTTGGTGTGTTGGTGGTGTATGGTTATGGGGAACTTACACATTATGGTGTGTTTGGTTGGATGGATTAATATGGTTTTTGAATAAAAATATGTTTTGAATTGCCACTGTTTTAAAAGAAAAGATATGTATCTTTTCACTGGTTTTGCGGGAACACACTGGATAACCTATTCTGATCTCCTGAACTCAGTCATCCGAAATATTTGTCTGAACTGAAAGCTCATTGTACGTTACCATCTGAAATATCAGTAAGATCTCTACTCAGCATAAAAATCTGTAAATATTCGGAAATAATAAGGATATGTATGTTTATCTGTATCTGTACGTTCTTCAGCATCATCTGGTAGTTCTGTATTACTGAGCTTTTCGAAGCTCACTCTATTATTCACCTTTTCAGGTTAAAAGAATTGTACCAGTGCATCTATCGACTTCAGTAAGAGAGTTCTTCCGGCATTGTTGCAGAGTATGGTACATGTGATTAGGGGGCATGTAATTGTATTTTGATTTATATACGAGTCTGGAAATCTGTTTTATTTTTAAATAGTGACAACTGATTTTATAAGTTACATATTTCAATAAAAGTTTTAAATTTTCCGCTATTTTTACAGTGGGTCGCTCCGGTGGCCCAAATGTGACACCCCGGATCGAATCTGGTTACCCTTATCGGTCTGTGGGGGTTACATTTAATTTGTAAACACCTTCCTTTTTAGATTTTTTTTTACAATTATTTTCCTTTGTAATTGTGTTTTGGTTATAGCTGAGTCTTTGAAAAGCTAGGGAGTTTGTAAATGTTATTTTTTTATCCTTTAAAAAGAAAGAATAAATTCGTGGATTTGTTGGGAGATCCTAAGTGATGAGCTTAGGTAGTAGATGTAGACTTCATTGAGGAGTTGAACCACTATAAATTATTGTGCAAATTTTCTTATCTTTATACTCCTTACTCCCTAAACTTTAAAAAGCCAATTCACCCTCTCTTGGCATATTTCGATTGATCGAACGAGCTTCATTTATTTTAACACGATGTAATTTACCCATAAAAATGCAATTAAGTTTTTACCGGTAAAGTACTAAAACAAAACAATAACTAAACGTTAGGTTTGGTTATGAAAACATTAAAAGTTTAAATACTAAAACAGACCAAAATTGATAATTCAAGTATTAAAAATATAATTTACCCAATAATGTTAGTCCAATATTAAAAGTTTAAATACTAAAACAGACTAAAACTGATAATTTAAGTATTAAACATATAATTTACCCAATAATGTTAGTCCAAGAATCTTCGTATAATTTTTTTTTAATCTTTAAGTCGAATCAAACGAAATTAAGTCATAAACACTAATAATATCAAATGCATATGCATATATAATCCTCACTTGAATTTAGTAAAATGCAAAATGCAAGTGTTTTAGCAAATGCATGATGGATGAATAGCACGCATATCATTGATTCATCCTGTCTTAACGGTGGGAGACAGACCATAATCGGAGGGCTTAGTATTATTATTATGATGTATAATCCCAACCATGCATGATCAGTTTTAAGAAAATATTTTATATTTTAATGAATTATATTTCGTAAAAACTCCAAACCCATCAAACAATGGGTAGATACTCATGATTTATGACCAAAGTTTATGAGAGAAAATATTTTTAATTTGTTCGTTTTCGTATCTAAATTTTTAATTTTTTTAAAATCATATTTAAAATTTAGTTTTTGTTTCATTTTAGTATTTTTGTTCAAAATTTAACATTAAGTTTTGAAAAAAATTGAAAGTTTAGATACTAAACACGTTAAGTTTGTAACGACGAGATACTAAAATGGAATGAAAACTAAACGTTAGGTATGATTTTGAAAAAATTAAAAGTTTAGGTATTAAAATGAACCAAAACTGATAGTTTAGATACTAAATTTTAATTTACCACAAAGGTTATAGTATTCCATGGGGATGGTTTAATTCCCGGTTTGTACTTAAATTTTTTAAATCATAAGTGTTTTTTTAATATAAGTAACTATTTATTCGTTTACGAAAGCAAATACCAACTTAATTCCCTGTTGGGGGACCATGTACGTTATTTACCCTATTTTAAAACTAAAATAAATAAAAATATAAGGGTAACAAGAAAATCTAGAAATGAAGTTATGAAAAGAATACTAAATTGAGGGACTAGAAAAGTGATTTTAACCCTTGCATACTGTGGCCGAAAGGAAAAGCAGGGGAAGAGGACGTTGTTTATAGGTAAAAAAAAAAGCCTCGAAAACGCAGAATTGATTGGCTTTGAGGCGTAACCTTTTGGTGTCCCATCCAATAAGAACACGACACATAAGTAATGAGCTCAGTTGGAACAAAAGCTGGCCTGATGTTTTCTAGATTTGGTCTCTGTTTCCTTTTGAACTCGTCTTCGTTCACACAGCATGTTCTGTCCCTTGCTTTTTATCATCGTTATCCCCTGGTTAATTTTATTTAAAGATAAAATACATAAATAATTTTTTAATTATAAGATATTATTTTATTAAGTATTTTAATTATTAATTATGTTCATAATTTTTATTTTTTATTAAAAAATTGATAGTATTTTACGTTGAATGTTAATATATTAATTATGATATGATAAAATATAACCTTAGAATCTCAAATAATTATTATATCTCAGCTATCATGTTAACGTCTAACTTAGACAACTGTCGATCTATTAACATAAAATAATGAGTTTGATCATTTTATAACTTTTAATAATCGAATAACTATTTACGTACTTTACTACTCGTTTAATTATCATATTAACTTATTTTTGTTTTGAACTAAGTAACTTATATATTTAAGATTTGTATAAAACATATCTTATAACGGAAGTAATTTCATAACGAATAATCAAAATGCAAAAAGGAAGTGGCGGTGAACAACCAAGAGGAGTGCAGGCAATCAACGCGGTGGCCGAATAAAAACGTGAACCTAGTCGTCAAACACCGATGGCTCAAATTCATTCTTAGCAAATAAGAAAAACGAAAAGTAAAAGATAATTAAAAAAAACAGCAGAAAGAAATGTTGCAGTTTCCTAGGTCTTCACGACCTTTTTAACCTAAATTTATGAGAGTTGTACTGTTATAAATTGCATAAATTTGCAACGTACAAAAGTTACAAACAAAAAAAATCAAAGAGAGAAACAAGCGAGAGAAAACAAACAATGGATGCTTTCTGTCATCGTCATTCAATGCTTTACCGAACTCATCACCACCCTTTTCTCTTCCAATTTCCCTCCTTTACCACCATTCCTCCTCTTCCTTCATCTTATCTACAGGTACTTTCTCAAAAGCTTTTAGCTTTTGCTTCTTTTTTTCTGGGTTTTTTCCTCCCTTTTTTGACGTGCTTGTTTTAGGAAATGGAGTGCGTCGAAGCAGCTTTGAAGAGCAGTTTTAGGAAGGAGATGGGTATGAAATCAATTCCCCAAGCGTTTTTGGACGATGTTTTGGCTGTAAATAATGGACAAAATGGAGTTTCTTGTGATGATTTCTCTGTTGACGACCTTTTCGACTTCACTAACGAAGAGGGTCTCCTTGAACAAGTACCTGAAGAAGGAGGAGAAGGAGTGTCAGTTTCTTCTTGTTGTTGTTCCAGTAAGAAACAAAAGCTAAGCCAAGAGCAACATTTTTCTGACGAAACTATCAATTTTGATTACACTTCTTTATCCACCGACGAGCTCGCCGTTCCGGTACTTTGAAAAACGAATCCCTTTTTTGTTTTTTTTGCTTTCTGCTATTTTGAGTTCGGGATATGGTTGTTAATGGTGAAAAGGGCGGCATTTTTACAGGCGGATGACGTGGCGAGCCTTGAGTGGCTATCTCATTTCGTTGACGATTCCTTCTCGGAACAATCTGCGGAGGCGTTTCCCACCGGAACGTTAACGGAAAAGCCCAAGTTACCAGGCAGTAAATTGCCTGAACCAGAAGCACCAGTTACGACCTGTTTTAAAACTCCGGTTCCGGTCAAAACCAGAAGCAAGCGCAGTCGAAGTGGCGGTCGGGTTTGGTCTCTTGTGGCTTCCCCTCGTACGGATTCCCCTTCAAGTTCCACTTCGTCATCTTCCTCTAGCCCTTGGTTCGTTTACTCAAGCAGCGTCCCCGGTTCAGCCTATGAACCGTCGGAATCGCTCTCGGTTGAGAAAAAGCAAAAGAAGAGACCGGCGACCGAGTCAAGCGTTGGGAACGTGAACCAGGCAACGCGTAGGTGCGGTCACTGTGGAGTTACAAAGACGCCACAATGGAGAGCCGGTCCAATGGGAGCCAAGACTTTGTGTAACGCTTGCGGTGTCAGGTTCAAGTCGGGCAGGCTGTTACCCGAGTATAGACCGGCTTGTAGCCCGACATTTTCGAGCGAGCTACACTCAAACCATCATCGGAAAGTGCTCGAGATGCGACGAAAGAAATAAACTTCGGGCCTGGCCGAACCCGGTTTAGCTCCAACTTCTGTTCCCAGTTTTGGATAACATTAGTTCGGGTTGTACTTGTACATCAACTGCACTAGGGTTTAGGGACGTAACTCATTTAGATTTTAGGTAGGAATTTAAATTTTGAACTTTTATCTTTTTTTTAATATAATTTTCCCATTCTTTTACCCTAAAGTCATTTTAAATTTAAATTTTTCTATACATTGAAATTATTCAAGAAAAGGGGGGAAACTGCATTTGGCTCGTGGACGAAGCACTTGGATTATATTATTAGCTACAATGGGTTTATTTTTGGGTAAAGTATTACAAATTGACCCCCAACTATAGGATATTATTTTATTGAGTTTTCTAACTATTAAAAGCTATAAAATAATCACTTGATTATTCATTGTGTTTCAAACTCATTTTTTTTTTAAAAAAATTGATAATGATTTGAGTTGTATGTTAACCTATTAATTGAATATATGATAGTGGTTTGAGATTCTGATATTAGATTATATCATATAGATTAAATTATATCGTATATCAGTTAGTAGATTAACATCTAATTCAAATTGCCATAATTCTTTAAAAGAAAATGACTAGTTGATAACATAATGAATAGCCAAGTTATAATTTTATAATTTTAATAGTTAGAGGACTTAAAAAAGTAACAACTTATAATTAAATAATTATTTTATAACTTTTAATAATCGAAAGATTTAATAAAATAACTCCTATAGTCGGACCGTTTATATACTTCACCGATATTTTTTGCATTTGGAGAAAAACTAAAACTGCTCAGGTTGTGTAATTCTAGGTATTTGGAGTGGTTGTAACCGAAGCAGTTACGTGCTTTGTTGGAGGGATGTGGACTTTTGATGTTGGTTTTGCACAAATCTTAGTAAATTCAACATTTGGACCAAGTAATTAAAAAAAGGTATAGTTTGATAAGCCCCAACTGCATATTGATCGAGTTTAGTATTTGGGCCATAGTTTACCAGAGGATGCCATTCCGATCACGTGGTGGGTGGATATTCACCACCCCAATAACTTTCCGGTCTCCGTCGTCTTGTAAATGATAGGGCATGGGGTTGCCAAGTTGTGCTTTAAAATATCTCATGCTGAAATTCAAAATGTGCGATGAATATCGCATCGATCGTCCTCAATGCAATCAACAGTAGACGGAGTAGAACGGGAAATGTTTTTCTGTGTTTAAGGACAATGGTTTGATCCGATTTGATAAGATACATCTTTTTGAGAATGCAATCAACAGTAGATACTTTGGGGAATTTTTAATTTCAAAATTCGAATTTAAATTAAAAATTCCCCAAAGTATCTATTTGGGTTTTGATAAATACAAGGGAAAGAGGGGTGAGAAAGTGTAGGATCCATGGTGGGAATATTGTGATGCTTTTTGATTGGGTTTAGGATATGATATTTAGGTAGGACATAAAGGTGGGAAACACTTCACTTGGTTGAGTCATGGGAGGGGGACTATAGTATCTAGTATTGGTGGAAAATCAAATCCCATAGGTGTGATTGATTCCACCTCACAACTCTCTTGAAACAATTGGGAGAAAATGTTCCATTAAGTGGATTCTAGATTTAGAAGATCGGAAAATGCATAATACTTCCACAAAGGCAAAGGCAAAGCTCTGTTTTTTGTATGATGCAATTGCGAGCATGCCAGGCTGAAATGTTAGGGGGCAAGCTGGAGAAGTTGGAAGTAGGCTGTAAATGAGACGAGACAGATCGCGGGTTACTCGAGATTGACTCGATCAAAGCTCGATAAATACTCGGATCGAATGGACTCGACTCGAGCCGAGCTCGACTCGAGTTCTTAACGAGCCGAAACGAGCTATTCGATATTCGACTCGAAAAGCTCGTGAGCAGCTCGAAAATATAATATTAAGATTTTATTTTTTTAGAATATATTATTAATAATATTAATATTTATGTATTGATTTTTTTTATAAAAAAATACAGTAAGATTTCTTGTATTTAAGGTTCATGTTCGAGTTTGAGTTTGAGGCTTCAATCGAGTTAAGTTTAATAATTTTTTTCATTTCGAGCATTTTCGAGCTGCTCACGAGCTTCAGTTTAGGATTTCGAGTTCGAGTCGAGCTTGAAAATTTTAAGCTCGCGAGTTTTCGAGTCGAGTCGAGCTTCATTTCAAAGTTTTCGAGTCGAGTCCAGCTCAGCAATACTCGAGCTCGACTCGGCTCGTTTACACCCCTAGTTGGAAGATATGGCAGGGGACAGTGGCGGATGTAGGTAGGGAAGGTAACAGATCAGATTGGGTTGGGTTGGATTTTTAGTTAATCTGATTTGACCCCAAAAAAATGTATCATTCACCCAACTGTGATCGGAACCAAAAATTATATATCCTCTATCCGACCTAATCAAAAAAATATATATCTTCCACCTAATCTCGATCCGACCCGACCCGAATTTTTAGAGTATAAATCCGACTCGATTGACTTGACCTCTCCCCTTGAAATATCCAATTCGAATCTATTTTTTTTTAAATTGATCATATCAGATCAGGTCTAGTCGAAATCCAACGGTTTGGAGATTAAATTGACATCCTTGGATGTAGGGTCCAAGGTGGATCAGTGCTTATTTTTAAATTTGAATTTTTTTATACTAGTTGTATAACTTGTTGATGATATTCACCTTAAATTTTAGTTGTGTTCGTCCATATAAAAATTTTTCCGTTATAATATGTAGGTACATCCTCAAAAATATTTTTGGATCCGTGTGGATGGTTAAAACTATATGTATGAATCAATGATAATTGAGAAAAATAATTTTAAAATTTAAGTACTTAATTGTATAAAAAACTTAAGTACCTAATTGTATCAAAAAATTAGGTACTCAATTGCACCATTAAAAAAAGTTAGATATGTAATTGTATCAAAGAAAAAGAAGTGACACCACATTACACATAAACACTAAATTGAGTACCAAAAGTTATATTGACCCTAATTATAGATATATTTCTTCAAATAATCCATAAACATCACTACTAACCAATATGGGTGAGTATTTACTCGAGTTAGACAAGTTAAAGAATCTTATTTTCTTATTACATTTTATTCAAAATTTATTTTAAGTGAAATGAATTTAATTAATTTGAATTGTTTAAGTTCTCGTTCAAATTTAACTATAAATATTTATAATATTATGATATATATTGCTTTTAGTTTATTTATGTACTTTTTCTAACCATTCAAGAAGAAACCAGAGAAATGAGAAAATCATACAAATTTGAGAAACTAAATTAAATAGTAAAAAAATTGTTGTTAAAAAGAGAAATCGAAGAAGGTACACGCGTATTCTAAAATAGTTTAGGAGGTGATTCGAATTAGTAAAAAATAAACTTAAAAAAATAAAAAAAAAACATTAAAAAGAAATCAAAGATTTTATCGTAAAATTATCAAAGTACTTAATTAAGAACTCAAAATCTAACATAAAAACTCAATTTAAATCAAATAATTAAAAATTAATATATATATATATATATATATATATAAATAAAATAAAATTGTGTTCATCTTACTACCAAACGAAAATTGGAATGGTTAGTTTAGTTCCTTAATAAACACAGAAAATAGAATCACAGACCAAATATGACGGGCCCTGCAAACATTCCACCTCGCGAATCATATTAATGTCCATTTAATTTCGGTTTAAAAACTGACTAAGTGGGCTTAAGTGGGCTTATTTAATTACCGAAATGGGATGGGATCCATCATCCACCGCATTGCAGGCAAATACCTAATATCGTAGACGAATTAATTATTTAACCTAATAAGACATCAAATAAATTATTTAAGAATTTATAGTAAATTTATTGTGCAAGAAAAACTCATCACGTCGACGTGATGAGTTTTATTAAAAAATATATTCAAAACTTTAATAAAATATATTTTATTAAAACTATGCTAATTTGGTTTATACGTTAGGTTTAGGGATTGAACCACTTTGACGGACCTCCGATACCCAAATAGTTAGATACAATTATATATATATATATTTATACCTCAAACATCAAACCCTAAACCATTAACTAAACCCTAAACCATTAACTAAGTAACTTCAAACTATACAATTTCAATATTATCATTCATATTTTTTTCAGTTCAATATGCCAAGTTTTTATAAATATGTTTTTCAAACCATATGCGATTTTATTAACATTTTAACGGCTAAGAGATATATATTAGTCAGTATTTAACCTAATAAATTGTTAGGTAAAGAACATAAATGTCCCCCGATTATAAGGTCGTGTTTTATTAAGTTCATCTACTATTAAAAATTATAAAATGGTTATTCAATTATAGAGTGTTTTGTTGAGTCCATCGACTATTAAAAGTTACAAAATGGTATCTCAAGCATCATTCATTATGTTCCAAACTCGTCATTTTCCGTTAAAAATGGACGATATTCTGAGCTGAACTTTAACTTGTTGACTGTGATATGATAAAATCTGATCCCAAAATCTCAAACGACCATCATCAGTGGCGGAATTAGAAATAATTTTCTGGGTTGGCACACATATGTTAACAATATCAATTTTGTAAATGGGATAGATACAAATAAAATTTTATGGCGGGCACCGTCCATAAAATAAGTAACTAATCGAAGAAAATTCATATTTCAGGGCGAGTACAAAAAATTTCAAGGTAGGCACTATCAATAAAAAATGTAACTAATATGAGAAAATTCAGATTTCAGGGTGGGCACGTGCCCACCCTGACCAAGCTGTGGCTTCACCACTGACCACGTATCACAGTCTTCATGTAAAGTTCAACTTAAACAATCGTCAATTTTTAACAGAAAAAGAAGTCTGAAATATAATGTATAGTTGGGTGATCATTTTGTAACTTTTAATAGTCGTTAGACTTAACAAAACAACGTTCTATAGTCAGAGAATCATTTTATAACTTATAACAGTTGAGAAACTTAATAAAACAATATCTTATAGTCAGAGAACCATTTGTATATTTAATCTTAAATAATATTAGTTCGAGATTAAATTAATATGAAATAACATTAGCTTTAACAAAATTTTATATTATATATAATATGATAAAATTAAAAGAGATATATATATTGAAGTAACAACGGAACATGGCCTAAACAATCCGAACAAACCGAGAGGCTAGCCATTTAAGATACATAAATTGGGCTAACCATTTAATAC